TCTTCAGTCTGCTTCTTTTGAAGCTCTAGCTCTTCTGTAGCCCTTAATGCCTTGAGTCTTTCAGCTTCAGATAAGAAGTCAAACTCACTACCACTAGAGATACGAAGAGGGATTTTTACTCTAGTCTGGTCGAGTGACTCCTTTAGCTGAGACATCTGTTGGTCTGTTGGAGCACAAGAGACGGGTTGATCAGATACCCGCTCCAATCGACCGCAGGTTGTTGATGGGATATGAAGTTGATATTCTGAAGTAATCATTACCTGAGAGGTAGAGTCTTCAAACAAGGTTTGTTGAGGGATTTTGGAAAGTACCTTCAAGTTACCTTCTTCAGCGACCGCCTTACCTTTCGACTTGGGGTCCTGGTTCCCTGATGGAGTCGATTCACCTTGCCTTTGCTCCCCCTGGGATGCAGAGTCCCTGAGAGCAACTCCTTTTGTGACGGTTGTTGGCTTCTAGAACTTGATGGTAAAGTCATCTTCATCATCATCGTCGTCGTCACCATCTAGATCATCTCCGGTGTCTGGAATGACAAGTTCATCATCGTCTTCATCATCATCTTCATCTTCATCAACATCATCATCATCACCAGCAGCAGTGATGGTATGGGCATCATGCCTAGGGATGGCTTCAACATCCTTAGGTAGAGCAGCTTCGGTGGTCGTGATTACAGGAGCAGCAACTGCTTCAACTTCGAGAGCCTCAGCTTCAACTGTAACTGAAGCTGATACTAGACCAATAGCATGAGAAGCTGTAGGAGCGGCATCAGATGATTCACCAGCATTGGACCTCATCTCCCCCTCTCTGGCTAAGGCTCGAGAGAATTGGCCAGAGAGTTCGTCCAAGCGCGGACGCTGGAGAACCATTGAATCCTCCAGCCTTTGCAAAGCATTGGCTAGAGTTCTCGTTGCCTCACGTGTCTCATGGAGCTGGGTACGATCATCGGCAGAGAAAAAAGGTGCAATCACTAGAGCTGGTTGACGGACAACATCCGGGATTTGTTGAAGAAGACCAGTCTGCTGATCAGCTATTGCCTGAGCATCGTCAGCCCTACTGTGAAGAACAACAATGGCGT